GAGACGGCCCTGCTCCACGTTACTCCATTTGTGCTGCCCATGTGTTAAAAATGAATTCCACATTGATAGAATAAGGACCTTGTATATGCTTATAAGTAAATTAAACTCTTTTTGATATTACCAAATAGTTGTATGATGTAACATCCACTTCTTTCATAGTATCAGAGCTTAATTAATTACCAACTAACAATAGATAAAATAGTCAATAGAAAAAAATAATCAAACTTACTTGTAAGTCGAACTTACATTCTCAAATGTGTCGGCTTGTCGTCAGGATTGAGACTGTCCGTCGTACATGTCAGTTTTTGTTAGTTACTATTTATATTTAATTTTAAATTTTAAATTTTAAAAGGATTTCTGACTGCACGATATACGATGAACGTTCTTGATCACATGATTCTTAGGATCCCAGACACGTCACCAGAGCAAAAATTGTCGACACGTCATGTTTCCTAAACACGTGTACGTCACCGATAACCTAAGAAGCATAAAACCCAAGCTGACATGAGTAGCCACCTGCCTAGTTCCCACATGACCCTTTTGTGTGATGGAATGTTTAACGAAAAGTTCACGGTACTGTTCACTTTAACGAAAAATTACATTTTTACACTAAAAAGTCAATCTTGGTACTATTCACTTTACCTTTTATTTTGTTCTTATCATTAAAACTCAAAGTTTTCAAGCCCGCCCTTTTCATTAGTTTTCCTCTGTGTGATTAGTGACGGGTGGACGAGTGAGGCTTGGGCTGGTTTGGTATTGCTGTGCTTTAAAAAAAAGCTGCTGTGAGAATAAGCGGCTGTGCTGTGAGAATAAGCGGCTGTGAAATAAATCAGCAGAGTGTTTGGTAAACTTTTTTGTAAAAATGCTTTTGGAAAAAAAAAACAGTCTGATAGTGGGTCTTTTCATTAAAGGAGCACTGTAACTCCGTGTGCTTTGAAAAAAAGCCAGTTTTCCAAAGCTGCAAATAGCAGCTTCAGCTTTTTCCTTTGATTTCAGCTTATTCTCACAGCAGCTTCCAAAATAGCCATTTTTTTTCAGTTTACCAAACACCTAAAACCCTCACAGCTTTTTTTCATGGGTGTTTTTTTTTTAAGCACCTCACTCCCAAACCAGGTCTTACTTACACTAAATTGGAAGCAACTCATGGAATCTATCAAGTTCCTCAACGGTAGCGGTGGAGGACATATATATACAAAATTTGTGAGGGGAGAGAGGAAGATGAAATTGAGTAGTAGGTTGTGGAGGCCAACAAGAACTGCTTTCTCTTCGAAGATGTCTGCAATTCCGTCCAGAGACTTGTGTTCTGGTAATTCTTAAAACCCTTAGCCTTCTCTCCATTTTGATAACGATTTCGTTTTCAGTTTTGATTGTTTCGTTACATTTTATTACATAAACATTATCTCATGTTTATATATCAAGTGTGTGTGTTCAGTTATGTAGGGTTTAAAGTATGCAAAGTATCACGAGTGGGCGAAAGTTGACGAAGGGAAGTTTGGCTACAGTAGGAATATCAGACCATGCTCAGGAACATTTAGGTGACATTATTTACGTAGAGCTGCCTGATACTGTTGTTGCAGTTACACAAGCCAGCACTGTTGGAAGTGTTGAGAGTGTGAAAGCCTCCACCGACATCAAGAGTCCTGTCTCGGGCAACATAATTGAAGTGAACAAAGAGCTTCTTAGCTCTCCAGGTTTGGTAAGTTAAGAACATCTTATGCTAATTGTTCCATTACTGTTCAAGCATATTTCTTATATCGGAAACCTCACGAAGTTAAATTTCACCTATAATGAATCGTTCAACTACTAATTGCATCGAGATATTTTTTTTAAAACCCTATACCCCAAACTTACTAAATTGAACATCTAGTCAAGTTTAGAACAACGTTCATGATTAATAGTAGACATCTAGACTTGGAATTTGACAATTATTAATTAATGAATCGTTGCTTAGTTAAACAGTTACTTATTTTTTGTCGGTTACTTGTTGTGATGATACAGGTAAATGGAAGCCCTTATGAAAAAGGATGGATCACCAAGGTGGAGATGAGTACTCTGAGTGTGTGAAGCAGAAGATTCCAAACATTCCAGAAGCTGAAATCAGTTGATTACATATCAAAGTTTTTATTTTTTTTCACCAAAAAAAGTCCTTTTGTTGGTAAAACAATGCTTAAAGCTGCTAGATCATAAAATACTTCTGCAATGTTTCAACTCTAAATACTTCCCTTTGTTTTTCTATATGCTTTTTTTATTAATTAGCTGTGGGTAGAAACATTGGTTGGAACATTTCAATGTTATCCAACCTTAAAGTAGTTCTTCGAGTTTGCATCTCAATCATCAAATGTGTATCAATATATGATTTTTTTTTTAAAGGGAGGCAACTGGTAGCAAACTATGATTGGTTATCCACTCCTTTTGAGGGCTGGAAAGACTCACAAAGGTATTTCAACCTCTTCCTGATCACCAGTCTGGCTTCCACACCAATAGAGCCTCTTTGTGAAGGGACCCAATGCCTTGTAACTGATCATACATTCAAGAACCTCTTTTTTCTTCGAAAAATTCACTCACCAGAACTAAAATAAATATTGTGATTTTTCTTATACAAGTGATACCTTACTTTGAACTATTCTAAAGTTGCAAAACCCTAAATCTGGAAGAGAATTACTTTCATATCTTGATTCTGGATAGAAACATCGCCCTTCTTCCAATATACATTAGTATAAAGGGTTAATATAAGTTTACTACCCTAAAATTTCTTGATTTTTAATATTTGGTACATAAAGTTTTTTTCATTCCAATCTGGTACCTAAAGTCATAATTATGACATACTTTCATACCTTTACTAAATTTTTCATCAGAACCTCTGTTAACAGATGACGTGACGCTCACATAGACAAGGGTCATATGTAGCTCACGTGAATATTAAAAGAGTTAAAAATTATTTTTCTCTGCAAACCCAATCCGTCTCCTACCTTACCCCGCCACCCCTACCCCTGCCTCCCTTCTCCCTCCCTTTTCTCCTATACACCCACCCATCCACTTTCCTCCCTTCTCTCTCTTCCACCCTCTTCACCTCAACCCTTTGCAAAAACCCTAATCCTTAAAATCTGAGGAACTCGAATCTAAAACCGATCCGGAGCAGCTCCGTTCGCGAGCCACCCGAGGAAAGAGAAGGACTAAAGCAGCGATGCAGGTGAGCCACCATGTGCTGGTGCCATCGCCGTCACTGCCAAAACCCAGAAGCAGACCGTCGGCATTCTCTCATTCCACCAATGTCACGTCCAAGACCGTCCACCTTCACAAGTCCTCATTGACTCCAAGATCTCGAAGCTCAAAAACGAGATCTTGAAGTTTAGGAAGAAGATTGCAAGAAATGGAGGGGTAGTTCAACCTCTTCTATCCCTCAAGATCTCAACTTGGGATTAGGGGCGACTCTCGATGTCGGTTCGAGCCTTAACGATGCCAAATCGTCACTTATCCTCCGTGAATGCAGCGATTTCAGTCCGACTCGTTACTTCGTCGAAGAGGTCATCACTTGCTACGATGAGACCAATCTCCACCGCTCCTGGGTTCGGGTACGATTTCTACTCACAATGCCATTTCGATTTGGAATTCTTGATTTTTCGTAATTTCATTGATTATTTTTGCTAACTCGGTGGTTTTTATTTCAGGCGGAGGCGACAGCAAGGAGTCCGGAGAAGATGAACACAAGGTTAGAGAACATGTGTTGGCGGATTTGGATTTTGATGTGGGTTTGGTCACTTCGTGGAATTTGAGGGTTTTGACGTGGGATTGAGCTTCTTCAACTCGACATTCTTGGTGGAAGTGGAGGTGGGTTTCAAAATCTTGGTTTGGTCCTTGGAGGAAGACAAATTCGGTTTGCAGAGAAAAAGATTTTTTTTAAAATTTTAATATCCACGGGGCTCATATTGACATGTGAAGCCCAGTTATTGTCTACATGAATACCACATCGTCAATTAATGAATGTCTGACAGAAAATTTAACGGATATATGAAAGTATTCCAGAATTATGACTTTAGGTATCAGATTGGGACGAAAATAACTTCATATACCAAATGTTAGAAACTAAGAAATTTTAAAGTAGTAATCTGAAATTAATCCTAATATAAAATATTACTTGTAATAAAAATAAAAATAAAACTTTAATCAAAAGGCTTCCTCCAACCATTTTTTAATTAAAATCTTTCAACAACTATTTTGTTTAAAAATAAAACTTAAATCAAAAGGCTTCCTCCAACCATTTTTTAATTAAAATCTTTCAACAACTATTTTGTTTAACGGTAAGGAGACAAACATTAAGAGAACAACCCAAAACAAAAGGCCCACGTAGTCCGCGTTCTTTCCAGCTTAACAAAAAAATCCATTTTCTTTGTCCTAAAAAAAACAAAATGCCCACGTGCTGAAGTTGTACACCAAAAATTCCAACAGATACGTTTGCCCCCTTTAAATAATCTTTCATTTTAAAACCATGCCCAACAGTGAACATTTCCCTTTAAAAAAAACAAAAATGATATTGTTGCCATTTTTTATTTTTTAACAAACAATATTATCTATACTAAACAAGGATGTGATTAGCCTCACAATGGACTAACAATAATGTGGTTCAAATTTGCATTTGACGAGAATCGAACATAAGATCTTTCACTTACAAATGAAGAGGAATACCACTAGATCGTACTACTAAGTGGCATGCATCAATCATTTAAGAAGATGAGATCCACATGTGTTGATAGGTCTTACCTCTATTCGAAAGATGATACAAATAAATAATAAACATAGCATTACTTAAAAAAGAATAATATTTGGGTACTAACCAGTCAGTATCCAATTTCACTTTACCATCTACGGGGCCAAATAATTTTAAAACAAGAAAATAACCATTGGTTTAACGTGAAGTAGAGCCTAAAACCCTAAAAGTAGGGCCCATTATCTTCTATATATACCTCGGTTTTGATCTGCCGTAATACGCCTTGATTTTTATTTGGACGAAAAACCCCAAATTCCTCTTCGGTGTGAGTGTATACCAGTAAGAATGAGCAAACGCAAGCAAACATGGAGGACTCTTTCCGTTTAGTGAACATCCTCACTAGGTTGCCTGCAAAATCTGTGGTCCGATTCAAGTGCGTCTCGAAACGGTGGTGTTCTATATTATCCGATCAACAATTTGCCAAGTCCCAGTTCAAATTTGCATCATCTCAGCACCAAAGGCTCCCCTTCCAGCAGCACTCCTCCTCGTCGGAATGCCTCTCTTTTGACTTGAACCCGGTTTCGTCCTTTGGGGATGTTTCTTCTGTCAGAAAGCTAACCTTTCCAGTAGAACGCCTGCAAAGCGATCGTGCCAGGCTCCTGGAATCGCACAAGAAACCCCGTAGAGATCATGTCAGGCTATTGGCGTCGTGCAATGGTTTGGTGTGTTTTACTGTCAACAATCCTGATGATTTGATTGTCTCAAGGTATTATATCTGGAACCCTACAATCGGATTCTTGCAAAAATTGCCGCAGACAACAAGTTCATCTCCATCGTCAGAAAAGAAAAGGTGTGACCTTAACCATTTCGGTTTTGGTTTCGTGTCGGCCACTGACGAATACAAATTCTTAACCAGTTATTATCATCGGTCTAATGCCGAGATGGAGATATTCTCATCGAGAACCAACTCTTGGAAAAGAATTGCAGCAGCTGACAAGGGTTTCGGCCACAGTACTGATATTATAAACGGGGTTCTTTTCAATGAAGCGCTTCATTGGCCCGGCTACTTTAACTGGAAGCAGCAGACTATTGTTGTTTTTTATTTGACCAACGAGAAGTTCCCGGTAGTGCCATTACCTATCAAGTTTCAAAGGTCCACTGGCGGCGCTGTTAGTGCCATTCACACGCTTCACTTGTTTTTTTTCACACTTGATCAACTCCAACGTCTCACGGCGCCGGACGAATCTTATCCCGATAACTGTACCATTTTATGGGATCCTTATGATGTCGGAGAAAATCGATTCTGGGTCGGGGAGTTTGTTAATCTTAAACCTATACAGCGAGTCACTCACACCATATTCTCTCATGAGTCATGACCCACATATCAAAATGTTGATCATCCCAAATTTTTAAATTTCCCTCATTTCTCATTGTTATGGTACGCCGTACACACAAACATCCTCCAGCAACTGTCAAACTATAAGGTCTAACAGCCAGGGCCGGCTTTGGCCCAGTGCAATCAGGACGACCCCTCGAGGCCCAAAAAGAGGGAGGGGCACCAAAAAAATTTATGTTGGTTCATATATATATATCAGGTTTTGTTTTGTTTTAGATACAATAAGAAGCCAGAGTGGTTTTGTACAATTTTTGTTTCCTTTCCCACCCAGGTTCAATTCCCACTCTCGCCATAAAAGGAGGTATTTTGCTCTTTTTTTTTTTTTTTTTTTTTTCATGTCTACTTTAAATAACAAAGAAACAGTAATTAGGTTATTAAATGTGGCATTTCCAATAGTGATCTTTTTTTTTTTTTTCTGTTTGAATTTATTTGCAAAATCAGGTTTAAGTTTGTCTAAATATAAATTAGGGTTTTTTTTTTATCTATTGATAATCTTTTCATGTTTAAGTAATAAAGTGTTATTATTTTTTTTTATTGAACAAAATGTTGTTATTGACAATCCAAAAATATCATCCTACACTTCTTTATGTAATTTTTCCCTAGTGATTTTATATATTTGGAATGAACCGCAACCTTTCATGAGAGCTCGAAAAAGAAAACAGTAGATGAATTACTATATGTGGCCTTTGGTAGTGGCAATTTTTCGTTTTCATTTATTGCTGACGTATAAAATTAGAGATTTAAATATGAAAAATTCATTTCAAATGTCTCATAATGTGCACGTGACATGTAGATCAGTTAGTTAAGAGTGTTCACATTTGCACTCAAGGTCTCTGTTCGAATTTCCTCACCGTAGTTTTGATGAGTTTAACAAATGTGCACGTGGGTTTACAAATTCGCGGATATCACTGACCTATATAATCTGAAATGGTCCTGTCACTTTGATAGCATGGTTACATACAAGGAGAGTCTATTTGAGCTTATTAGTGATGATTATCATGGGAATAGGGAGGTGAAAGACTCAAAAACTCCCCAACACAAGCACAAGCTGAAAAATACAGATCAATCGAGGATCGAATGGTTGCTCTTAGTTTGTATTCAAATGCTGCTGGTTTGTTTACTCCTCACTAATCTTGGTTGATCTTTTGTTATGATGCAGGAGCCATTATATGAATCGAATATGTTCAGTAGTGACGATTTATGTTGGACAAAATGCTGTTTCAGTTTTTGACTTAAAAAATGGAGCAAAACCATGCAAATTTATTTCATGGAATTTTTTATTCGTATGAGAATCAACTCATGAGATTAATTCCTATAAAATTATAATCAAACACAATTTTTAAGCTCATTTATAGTTTAAGTCACAAAATATTTTAAATATTAGAATTCGGTCAATCATTGGTACCTTATTTTAAGGAGAGGCCAATGAAGAGAAATTTAAGCACAAATGGTGGATAGAGAATTCCTCTTCATTCAGGATTTGAACCCTCTTCTTTTCTTTTAGTTTAGATATATTGAGTGTTATCATATCGTTTGTCAAAACATAAGGGAAATATAGGCAAATTGTATTGATCTTGTTGGTGAATAAAATTGTTTTTATTATTTGGACCAAAATAGTCTATCTGTCCAAGGTAACAAACGAGACCTCTAAGGAACTTAGTAGTACACTAGAAATTTGTACCCTCGCGTTGCTGCGGGATTGAAAATTATATGAAATATTTTATAGCTTCAATTTTGATAAACAATGTTTGAGTGAAAAACAGAGCATTACGAATGGCAATGCAATTTATATGTAAATTTATCATGAACGGAGCAAATTTAGATACTAAAAGAAAGATCTATTTTTTCAAAGTGTAAAGTAGAAGATAATTGTTTATTCAAAAAGTTGAACTAATGATAACTGCATAATTGACAAATGCAGTATTGAGAGTATACAGTCAAACAAAGCTTGCTACATGCTAAACAATGTTGAAAAACATTATTAGCTTCTTCAATTGTTATATACAATGAATGTAAAGCTTGGATACCAGAGTTGTTCCTAGCTTGAGATGTTTCCAAAGAAGGAAAAATTGACATTTTGTTGTAACAAATTCCGGAGTGTCTTGTACAGTGTGAATACAACTGTAAAAGATAATAAAGACAGCCAATGAATAAAAAATAATATGCATAAAAAGTTCAAAACTGAGTTTTGGTAGAGAGAGTGGAGAGAGAGAGGTGAAGTCATCTTATAACCGGAGTTCAAATGTATTTTTTTCCTAGGTAGTAATTCGACTTTCTGAAATCAAATATATAAATAAAGTGTAATCAAAATTTAGTATGAAATGTTAATTAGAAATGTGTTAAAATGGAAGTAGAAAAGATTGAAACTTGCCTAATGTGATGTGTACAATTTTACCATCTGTTTGTGAAAAATATACTGCTCTGACATGCCATATGTTGATCTTGCCTTCTTAGAAGAGATATTAGTCGTTGATTGCCAGGTAGCTGAAATCTGTATAATATGTTTATAAATTATGGGACAAATTATTATGTCAAAGTTGTGTGCTAAAAAGTAATTTATACTTCTATATTGACGCAAGTTATGATTTTAATTTGCATATACCTTGGTGGGGTCATTCTGTGTATGAGTTTCTTATTCATCATACATGTTATGTCTGATTCCAAGTTCTGCAGAAAGTCACAAAGAAATGATACATAAAATTACTATCGAACTGATGTGGTGATTAATATTTTGGTAGACTGAGATAAACACATACTATAGGTCATAGAAACCAAAACAAACCCAATAACATTACTATTATATCATCATTTTGAAACATCAATTATTAAAAATTAAACACGAATGATAGATACGAATTTAAGCAGCGCTCATACATTGAGAAATCTGAATAAATCATAACAGAGAGAGAGTATGACTTCTTTCCCCTGAGCTGTAAACTGGGCCAGATCAATAGAAGCTGAAGACATTGTAAATTATTCTGTATGTCGCTTGGGACACAAATATCTGTTAAAAAAAGGCAAAAACTAATTACATCTGTTAAGTGTCTAAGAACCATAAACACATGTGTAAGGTTTTGTAGCACAGAATTTTGTACCGTTACAGCAATTTTATCAAAGTTACATATTATGTCATTCTTATGTTTGAGTGTTATCTTAACAACTTGTTTGACATAAGATTGTTCAATTATCAATAATATTTTTTTACATGTTTTTAATTCACACCATTAATACTTATCTTCTTGCTTTTTAAATTGTAGAGAAGCTACAAACTTATAATTAGACAGTGAATCTGTCTAGATTGTACATAATTAGAGGACCCTAATGATGGAAACATAATTTATACAGAAATTGGGAAGATATCACAATTCTAAAGTGCACATAAAAGCACTTTACCAAATCGGTGAATTTGTTAACTATATTTTTTTAAAAGCAGAACCAAGAAAAATGTAGTTCATGTGTTCTGTGAATCTGTGATGTGTAAATGTGGTCAGCTAAGTACTGACTTTCATGTGACAATATTACATCTTAATTCATTTGAATGTTAATTGAAGATATAGATGTATCAATGCAACAGAAGGACTTCACCTACCTCAAAAATAGTTGCCCAAAAGCATGTAAATTTTTTAATACATTTGTGCATATATTTAACACTATATAGAAAAACATGCTTTCAAACTAATTTCCAAATGTCAGAACCCAATTTTACAAAAAGAAAGCATTCGTCGATGAACAACGCGTGGAATCTTTGGAAACAAATGGAAGCAACTGGAACAACACGTGTTGACACGAAAAGGGCAGCGAAGCAAAAATGAAAACGGATGACAAACACGTGGACTGAAAAGGTAGAATGATTAAAAAACAATCAGAACATAAAAGGAATAAGGGCATGTCCGGGCGCAAAGTGTTGGTGGAAGGATAAAATGGTCCAAAAAAATCATAACACAAAGGAATAGAACGGCAAAAACGGAAAATCAAGAAGGGCAAAAACGGAAAAACACTGTTACTTTCACTGTTCATCAACAGTGTTCCACCCGTTTGGGTTTTAGTATATATAAAATTTCATACAAATCGAAAGTAAGAAAGATCATATCTAGTTCAAAATCAGTTACACAAACGATCTAAATCAGTTGATAACATTTCAATGACAAAAAAAAAAATGAAAGCACTTGTACCAATTGGCTGTACCACCAAGGGAGATCGGGGAGTTGAAAAGTCCGAAATAGCTCAGAGGACAATGCAAAGTGGGTTTTTTATTTTTTGAAAGTTTGATGAACATGTGTGAGATGACAAATTAGAAATTTAAAAAAATTAAAATGACAATGTGCTTAAAATTACAGTTCAGATGACAACAAAAAAATGAGTGTAAGTTCATATAATATTTTAGATAACCGTCCAAACGTAAGTAGTTGATTGCCCTGATTGTTAAAGTCTTAATTTTTAACTCATTGCGTCCTGAGTTCAGGTTCTTCCCATCTCTCATCCTTTTTAGTGTAAATTAGTATAAATTATTGCTTGTAATAAAATTTTACCGTCCAAGAGATGTTTAATTAATGGAAGAAAATGCATATGGGCCAGCGGCACCAGCTCAACAAGTGAATGACTGGTGTGTAAACTTGGTCCAGTAAACTGTAAACCATACGAATACAACCAACTTGCTTTTAAGTTGCTGGTTTTCTATCCTCTATATACCTATATAGTTGGAATGGAAGCGATGCACCTTATCCACTCTCAGCGAAGACCACCAGATATTCTACAGAATTAGGAAGCGAAAGGAAATCAAAGAAAAACATGGACGGGATACAACAACTAGGTCTTCCAGTTCTAGGAATTGTAGCTGCTGCAGCTGTTACCTTCTATGCTGTTAGCTTTCTTGAGCTTAGTGAGGTAACCCTTTTTCCCTCTCTCTCTCTCTCTCTCTCTCTCTCCCAGTCCCAAAATTTAATCTATGTTGTTTTTCTTTTTCTCTAATTATTTGGTGAAATAAATCTGAGTATTTGTACCAAAATATAAAAATAAATGTTATGTTTTCTTTGGTTGAATCTGCAGAAGTCGTTTAGGGACTTGGACGAGAAAGAATATGGTGAAAGTGGCGGATACAAGCCATCTGCGAGCTCTAGGGTAAAGCGCGCCAGAAGAAAAGCTGAAAAACAAGCCAAACGTTGAAAGCAAAACAATGTATACAGAGTTTTAATTTCTCTGTACATTCTCAGTAATACTGTGGTTCCGAAGTTGTACAATATTAATTCTATAAGATGTCCTTCCCTTCTCACAACAAATTATTCCTTCTAAATATGATTATCTCGGTATAAAATGGAAATTTTTTTCCTCCTCATTGCATGTCGTTGGAGTCCTTTTTTATTTTCAGACAAATCAAATATCCGAGTTGGAGTCGTTCCTTTTTGCAAACAAATTATATCGGAGTTCCTTTTGCTCAGTATTTAGGGATAGCAAGGTCATAAATAGAGATGAGGAGTCCTCCTACCCTCCCTGGTTCGATATGGAAAAGGGTTAGCGCATAAACTTTTCTTTTGGTGATTTTAATGAAGTATTTTTGTGCATGTAACAATGTTATAGAATGTAGACAGTGTCGCCATTAGTTTCTGGTAAGCCTGGACTACTTCGATCTTTGAGAGATCTCTTATATTTAGATTTTGAACTTGATTTATTCCTCTAAGGGTACCAATTTCATCCAGCATCTTGCATTAGGGAAATGATTTCTGCTCTCATTTTTCTCTTTCTACCGTACTCCCTTCGTTTATACCCGTCGATTCTCTTTATTCAATCTAATAGCTAGAAGAAAATAAACAACATAGAGAAAAATGAAGTGCAGACATCAAAGGAGGCGAAACGAGGAACCGATTATCACGAGAACCTGAAATCTTATTTTATATATACATCTTTCGGAAGTAGGCTGATAAATTTTGTTGTCAACATGATGAGAAGATTCGAACTTGAAATCTCTTCCAACGTTCAAAAGACGAGTACAACTAAACCGACAACTGTTGGCGAAGTAGGGCTTTATTCAGAATATCATTCATTTAACAAAAACACAAAGGGGAAAGGATTTTGCTTTTACATGAAAGTCTACATCTTTTTTTCACCATCGTCAGATATCAATACATTTACAAGTTGCAACTACTTCTGCTTAGACTTGAGTTCCTTCACATATTCTTCAGTGTCCTTCAATGCTTTCCCATAAAGGCTTATTAACTGGAAATGAAAACACAGGTTCTGGTTAGCATGTTCGTAAGAAACCTACTCCGAAAACCTTTTCCACGATGCAAGTATTACTCAATTCTAAGCAAGATTGGAACAAATCGGGAATACCTCGTCAACCTCACTAGGAGTCATAATAAATGGTGGAGACATCATTATGTTATCCCCAGCGACACGTATTAGCATCCCATGTTTCTCGCATTGGGCTCCAAAATATGCACCTACCCCTGTGATGCATATCATCAAGGCATAATATTAATAAAGGAAGCTAAGACAGCCCCGATATTACAGAAACAATTGCTTCTGGTCACCACGCCAGTCAATCAGAAAAACCCGCCAGATATCACAAAATAAAACAGCAAATAGCGCAAAAAAAAAAAAAAAAAAAAAACAGTATACACATCTCAGCACACCAGCCCCATAGTGGTTTGTGCATGTAGTTTCTCTGTCCATACTCCATATAAATAATAATTTCTACTGAACGTACTGTAAAACAGGTAGGACTATTGAACCGGATCTCTTTGATAGGTTTGGACTGCAATCTTATATGCAAATGTAGCTCAATTATACCCAAAAAATTTCCCATAAAAACTATCCATACTAGATGTACTCTATGTCATTTTTCTTTTTAGTGTAAAGATGAGACTTACCCCATTCAGCAGGAAATGGATCATTGGGTGACTTATTGTCTGTGAATTCTGTACCAAGGATCAATCCAGTTCCCCGTATCTGCATAACCGACATAAGGAGTGCCATGTTAATATCGTACTGATTGTAGTTTCTCTTTCTGATTTCTGTAGTGCAAAAATATCAAGTAAAAACATGTACCTCCCCTATGATTGGACTATCAGAGAAGGCTTTTACACCATCTTGAAATCTTGGGGCAATGCTCCGTACTTGTTCAACAATATTTCTTTCCCTACAAACAAGTGAAATGTTAATTGCCAATTATCAAGATCGGTGGTCAGCATGAGATCAATGCTGTTTCGTCCAGATTCTAAACATGGTTGGTTTAAATCCTTAAAAGTGGGAACGCAGATAACTTTGCTTTTAATTTGTTTGAACCAAGCAAATAAGAACATACTTGTAGATCTTGAGTGTTTCAATTGCAACTGCACAGGCTACGGGGTGTCCAGAATATGTAAACCCGTGAGAAAAAGAACCTGGCACAAAAGAAATCGACTTGTTCAACAATAATACCTTGGAATGGAATTTGATTAGTTTATAGTACCAACATACCAAGCTTGCTGCTTTGAGAGTGTATGACATCTGAAACTTCAGGGCTCACAAGAACAGCACCAATTGGCATATATGCAGAAGAAAGAGCCTGGAACATCCAACAACACAGCAATGAGGACACAGATATTTCTGTGGGATGTGAGAGTGCAGCTCTGTATTTGTAGTTTTGTACATAGTTTCATTTTTACCTTTGCCACAGACACAAGGTCTGGTTTAATGTTGTATTTGTCACACCCATACATGTAGCCAAGCCTTCCAAAAGCACAGATTACCTTAAGAAGTACAGAAATAAAGCCTAAGCTTAACAACCAACATATAATGAAAGATCAGTTTACATTAAGGAAAAGAATTCCATATACCTCGTCGGCAATAAATAGAATGTCATATTTCTTCACAACAGCTTGAACCTGCATCAAATAGGAAATGCTTGTCCATTACAAAGATTGAGAGTGACAGAGTCGTGTCTGTTCTGAATGAAACAACACATTAAAGCTTGCAATCATCCAGTAGCAGTAATTCCCATAATGAATTATATCAACACAAAGCAGGACAAGTACAAACCAAGTATGGGACGAAGTATGAATCACTTAAAAGATATATTTCAAGCTCATCTCACTGTAGTGGACTTGATAACATGAATCGTTCAGTGAAAACAACTTATATAATCGGCTTTATAGACACTAACACAGTAGGCCCAACCCAGCTAATAGTACAACAGTTTTAGAATAGCCTATACACATCAGGTGACAAAACCAAAACGGCATTAAATTTAAAATGAAGCTTGAGCTCAGACACCTATTGTGATAACTAAGTACATCCAGTGAAGCATTTGCAGTACTGTTCAGTTTGTAACACAATGTGCAAAAGCTCACCTTTTCAAAATAAGTTGCAGGTGGAGTTATAACACCGCCTGCTCCCATGACAGGTTCAGCAATGAACGCAGCAATCTGAAAGTAGCAAACACACCAGCTCAAAAACACAAAGTACCCTCGGCATTTCTAGATTTTGAACAATTCACCTGAATAACTTACTGTCTCTGGTCCCTCTTTGAGGATAAGATTTTCCAAATTGTTGGCTAATCTTGTAGAGAACTCTTCTTCTGTCTCACCTGGCATATATCAAGCTAAAACTTTAATAAAATCAATCACAGTTAAATCTCAAAGATTAGATCAGTGTAAAAATAGACCTGGAAGGTGATGGCGCCAATAATGTGGGCAGTCAGTGTGCAATACAAATGGAGCTGGCAGATCAAACTTTTGATGCAAAGCAGGGAGGCTGTGAAAAAGAATTTAGAGTCAATGGACTGAAGGATGATTTTTCGTGCAAATTTCTCAAGAATATTTATCCTACCCAGAAAGACTTGCGGCTATTAAAGTTGAACCATGGTACCTGTTTAGGATGAAAAGGCAACATCAAAGGACTGGTTACAATAACTGAAGCAAATAAAGAGAAAACAAAAGGAGTTGAGAAAGTTGAACATACGATTTATGTCGAGCTATGAATTTTTTTTTATCTGGGCGTCCAAGTGCATTATTATAATACCAAACCAGCTTCACCTACAAAGCAAATATTTCAAATGGTTAAAAAGATCTGTGATAACCAAACTGAATATTAATTTCTATAATATCATTTTTGAACTCCTGAATAAACAAAGCAGTTCAACTGGTTACGTTCACATGAATTGGGTATTCAGGCAACTCAGATATCTTCAAACTTTGCGGAGTTCATAAGCTTTTCAGATTTTGAATTTTCCTTTGATAATTACATGGAAATCAAATTGAACAAGTATAAATAATTGTTTCATCTAAGATGGAAAAGTGAATTTTGATTGATGTTACATTTTACATACTACCTTTACATGACGCTAAACTTCAACTAATTGTTGAGAGAATAACATTAATCAATTAATACAATGCATTTGGACAAAGTAGCCAAAATTGGAGGACTTCGATATCTTTCTTATTGGCATGAAGCGGAACTATGAAATTGGAAACTGTAATCAAATTAATTTCTTCTACAATTGAATCAAACCTGAGTATCATTGGCTTCAGATCCACTATTAGTAAAGAAGGCTTTTGCCATTTTTGTAGCTGTAAAAGTTTCTAGAAGTTCTTTTGCCAAGTCCTGTAAAAGAAAATATGTTGCTGAATATCACATGCAGGCATCTTAAGAATGTATCCATTAAACTATGTGGAACAAAAAATAATGAATATAGAATTGCATATTAATATAAAAGAAACTAGGAAGTAAAGAAACAAAATGAATACCAAAGATGGTCTAGTAGTACGATTCCAAAATGAGTGGTAAAATGGCAAGGTATTCAACTGTTTAGTTGCAGCCGCAACCAGTCGAGGTTCATTTCCACCTGCAAGTTTAAACAATAAAAATATTTGAATTCAAGTAATTTATTCAACATATCTACTTTTACACAAATACACATAACAAACTTACAATAGTGAGGTCAGGAAAAGCTACAATAAGATAACAGGGGTAGATTAGGATAAAGGCTAATAAAGGAGGTCAAAGATACTAGTGCAAATAGTCAGATTCAAGAGCAGAGTGCGCAAGAAAGCAGTAAATACAAGGCTAAGAGAGGGCGACGGTATTCTAAGATACTTAATCCACATTTTCACTGCAAAATATAAGCATACTCGAGACTTCTTACCTTTTTCTATTTCATTTTTTTTAATAGTAATAATAAAAGCTGAGGAATATGAGAAGTTAAGTTTGGTTGTGAGCCATGACACTCCTTAAGAAGTAAAGAGGAAGATGCAAGCTTCAAGCTGAAGAACAAAAATAATGGGAAACAAATCTTTCACACCTAATGCTGTGCACCATAGACCCGCAAGAGCATCAAGATACTTCTTCCCATTGCTGTCATAAGCATAGCTACCCTGATACCAAGAATGAAAAACGTTCAATGACTTCGAAAAAAATCAACTTTGAAAATAAGAAGTACATACAATAATATAAACCAGAGTTAATCCTATTTTCACAGAGATACCTCAGACTTTTCTATAATCAAAGGATGCAAATCAGTACTCTGCCACCCAGGTGTGAAGGGTGCAAGCATATCATGGCCCTTGAACCTGAGAAAATCAATATTTGTCAACAACAAAGCTGTGACAAATTGGATTATATTGTGCACACACGTAAATGTATAGGCTATTATGCATGTACACTAATTATAATTAATACAGTAAAGATGCAGAACAGCAAATGCATGAAATACACATGATCATATACAAAATAAAAGTATCCTGAAAGGGGGATTACTGTGTAGATTGTTGACGATAGAACACCACCTACCCGAGGCCTTTTTCAACAGTTGTTGGTTCTTCCTTTTGCACAGATGACCCTGTACTATAGGACCGGGCCAGAAAGGGAACCATAAAGAGATGCTCCTGTGGACTTCTAGATACAGCAGCATATTTTGTAGATGAAACAAGCTGTAAACAAGAAAGATGGAAATTATTGAAACTTCTCCAAATGTGTAGTGAGTGTGTGTCTAATCATATGTATAAAACTCGCCATCACGAATGGGGCGTTAACTTGTGAGAAAAATAAACTTTCAATCTTTATGAGCATTTTAGAAGTAACAAAGAAAATGGGAAGGCCATCTCGGCATTAACAAGTAACACTTTACGAGACAGGTTATATCAGCCGGTGCAGTTAGTTATATGTTTCACATGTTTCCTGGCTCCAAATACTTAAAACTAAAAATTTGATTTATCTTCCTTTACAATATTTACTCAGCAACAAAAAGGCTTTTAGAACTGAATAGGAAAAAGCAAAAATATAGTCATATAGACATAACACGCGCATAAAAGGCACGGCCAGCGATAAATTTAAGAAACAAACCTAAATTACAACGTTACTTTGAGATACTCAGTTAAAGTCCTTATTTTTTCCCAGCATTTTCTCAGCAACCAAACAGTCAAAAAGTTCACATGCAAGTAGTGAAGTGGAAAGTCACAGGAGGGATCTCCCCCGCCCCCCCCCCCCCCCCCCCCCCCCCCCCCCCCACTTTTTTTTTTATTAATTATAAGTTGATCCACAAAGCCAGGAAGAAACACAAAGCTTCAAGCATTCGGATAAGGCATAAAAAGTCGAAGAAAATCAAAAGGGTAACTGAATTTTAGCTTTTCCAACATTTCAGCAAAGAAACGTAGACTTCAAGCAGGAAAAGGCATCAACAAACAAACTGATCAAACCAGAAAGATCAAAACTTTATCAAAAATCTACAAAATGAAATGATCAAACCAGCAATCATACTCGCACAACTTGTTCTTCAATCTGCGGTTTCCAGAACATATCAATCAGAAAACACATACAGGAAGATGTAATCCAAAAAAAAAACAAACGGGTATTCGGGATTAAAGATTTGATACCTGGGTTCTGAGATTGGATCGAAGAAAACGGCTGATCCCCATCTTTTGAAATTACTTTTATCTTCTGCAGCAAAACATGCAAAGGAGAAGCAGAGAGTTCTTCAGTGACTGAGAGTCTGTGAGTATCTTTGGTGACGGGTCGGTCTTTTCAATACCGAAGCGAAATGAACGACGCCGCCAAATGTGTCCAAATACGTTTCAATTACCACATTGCCCGTTACATTTGCCTTTATTATCCAAATCACAAATGCTTAATAATGATGGTGATTACAAATATCATCATCATTGACTTCACTCTCATTGCTCAAGCGGGTCATGGGTCGCAAAGATGCCACATTCATTTTGAGTGCAAAAGATTTGATCTCCTCAAGCGGAGTCATCTTTTTTCTTCAACCCCACCACAAATGTGGGATTTGCTTGTAACAGTTTTTTCTATTCGAACCATACTCTAATATAATATCGTTACATTAAAGAAGATTTGAACTTGAATATTTACACTGTTTAGCTAACTTGCTTACGTTCAGGAAGCTTACGTTCAGGATTACTTTATTTTTACAAAAATAAAAAAAAATAAAAAAAAAGGTTGAATTGAAATAAAAGTTAGGAAAGGAGGTACAAAGATTTGAAGTATTATTGGAGAAGTTCCCACAATTTCTCCGTGTAAGATTTGGAGAATTTATTGAATTCTTCACACCTAAACATGAATATCATAAACTAAAATTGCATTGTAAAAACAAGATTTAAACAAAGATTTGGAACTCCATATTTAACCGACTATGTTTTGCGTACTATTTTGAGGAGGTGAAAATCTGCCATAATATGTGGTGGGATACCTCATAAAAATTATTTTCTCCCATTTTATTAATGTTTTAAATAGTACTAATAAAAATAATGTAAGTTATGAACACATGATAAAGAACGCAAAAGACGTAAGGCATTAGAATATAAATCAATTATTCATCAGATATTGCATTTTATGTCACAATGACTCAAACATTTGTCATCTTTCCCCATCATTATCTTCTTCAATATCAAAACAATAGGATAGTGGTATCAACACATTTATTTTTACTTCTGACTCATTTTTTTTAATTTTCGACCGTCAGGGTCGAATGAATTAAAAAAAATCAACAGTCAAATTAATAAAAGCGTGTGAATAGTAAAAATAGTATGCGGATAGCACTATCCAACAAATATGTGCATTTTTCATTTGGTTTCCCTCAAAATATCCGAGGAGCATTTGCATTTTTGTGTTTCATCCTGTTTCACATTTGCTTTTTGGGGTCAATGTCGCGTTTCATTGTTTTAAGGTTTGTGGTGTTTGATCCGAATGCCCCAACTGCCCGTGCTCGAACAACATATACGATAGGGACACAAATGCAAATTCACCCACTCCCTCGTGACATATCAACCTACAACATGTCTCTGTCTCAATCAATTACATACTACTATGCGTTAAACTTTTTGTGCACAGTAATTTTTTATGTGTTAAACTTTTACGCATTGTAATGTGTTACAAATTTTTACGCATTTTAATGTGTTAGGCGTTAAACGTTCATCTATAGTAGTGCAACATTTTGTTTAACTTTTGTAACGTGACATTTTCATTCATTGAAGTCTTTCCCGCTCTAGTGGCTCCTGTTTATAACCAAGCACCAAGACAACCAAAGGAGAATAGTAACATATATTTTTCCATTTGGTTCATGGGATCTGGCAATGAGTCGTTTTATAAAAAAATAATGTCACGGAGACTAAATTTATGAACAAAGTTTTGAAAACTAAAGGATATAGAAATTAATGATTAGTTTTGTTTGTACCATACTTGACCAATCCCGAAACTACCGAGCACCGGCCAACGCTATACTGTCAAGGACCCAGAAGAGTTCCCCTCCGACCAGGAGGCCAATCACTACTCGACACGTGTCAAGATTAGAAGCCAATCAGAGCGCAGCACGTGTCAACATCAAGAACCAATCATAACATGACACATGTCAATGTGACAAAGCTACAAGTTTTTCTATAAATAGGGGTCATTCCCCCACAATATTGCCTAATGCCATTTGTGTTAAATCATTCACAAGAACTCACTAAATTGAGAGCTTGATCCTTTGTACTTGTGTAAGCCCTTCACTACTAATAAGAACTCCTCTACTCCGTGGACGTAGCCAATCTGGGTGAACCACGTACATCCTGTGTTTGCTTCTCTGTCTCTATTCATTTACGTACTTATCCTCACTAGTGACCGAAGCAACCAAGCGAAGGTCATAAAACCCTGACACTTTCTGTTGTACCAAAGTCCTCGCTGATTTTGTGCATCAACATTTGGCGCCGTCTGTGGGAACGACACTTATTCCTACTCTCTTCAGCTGTGTCAAGCTGGTTTCTCTATCATTCGTACACTTTCTTTTGACCAGGCATCCCTCTCCAACATGGGAAGCGAAGGAAGCCACAGCACACAGAATGACACCCCCCTTGCACATAGTGCGAAGCAACGAAAGAAGGAAGGAAAAACGAGTTCTTCTTCAAGCTAAAGTCGATGAGTTGGAAGCTCAGAAACAACAAGATAGCAATGAGGAATGAGGTCCTCCAGGAGCAATATGAGAAGCTCTTCGAGACACTCCACGAAGCTAGGCAAGCTCAGACACGCGAGCTTGTTGCCCCCGTGGAAGTCAACCATCAACTGGGTGCCCTCCAACATGGAGGGTCACATGCATTCGACATAGATATCCCTGATAGGGAACAGATTACCCCTCGACTTGATAATCAACATGAGGCTTCTCTTAACCCAGTTGCTTCGACCCGAACCATGAGAAGTGGAGGGAGACACCTCTTTGCTGAAGGGGCAGAAGGATCGAAAGCCGTCTTTCGCGATTGTCGGGATTTCCTGAAGCAACGTCGAGAGAATTCCATCCATATAAGCTCAAAGATCAATGACCCAAGGATTTCTGAGAGACTCGGTCCCCTGCCACGGCCCGAGCCGGCCACCAATTTGGGGAAGGGGCAACAAGTCCTAGAGAGACATGAGGGTACAGGGGACTTAGAGGTGTTCCGACAGACATACCCTGGAAGCCAGTACAACGAGTCCAGGGAAAAATCACATGCCCTTGATCAAACCTTCCTAATTCCAAGAGGAGATGGAGATTTACGAAAGAAAGCTCCAGTGGCACATAACTCCGCTCAGGATCCCCTTGTCCTACAACTTCTTGAGGAAGTAAACAAGTTGAAGGCTGAACGTCAGGCTGAAATACTTGACTGGAACCAACCCAGGCCTGGCCCTCTTACAAGGAGGATCCTCAACACCCCCCTTCAAGCAAAGACAAAGCAAAAGCTTGGCTTGCAACTTTATACTGGAAAATAGGACCCGATTGAGCACCTTAACCTCTTTGAGTCCACCATGGCATACCGGATGCACACCGACGAAGAGCGATGTCTTCTCTTCCCCTCCACCCTCTCTGGCGGAGCTCTAAATTGGTATTGTCGTCTTACACCTGAGACGGTAGACTCATTTGAGGAATTGAGGAAACTATTTGTTTCCCAACACATTTTCCAAACCGATCGCTTGCACTCTGCAGATGACCTGTACACTATCCGCCAGAAGCCAGACGAGTCATTACGTATGTATGCTGGCCGCTTCAGCCATGAATACTCCCGGTGTGCCGAGGCAGACGACAAGACTGCCCTCAAAGCCTTCACGGCAGGCCTACGTGATTGTTTCTTTAAATACATGATCAATGCCAATACTTGGAAGACTTACTCTGAGGTGATGGCGCAGGCTTATAACCATGCCTCCGCCGAGGCAAAGACATATCAGGAGAAACCCCCTACAACCATCCTTTATCAACAAGTGGGAGGTGGAAGCCAGACTCACCTAAATGAGAAGACCTCGACTTTCCAAACAGCAGTGGCACCTCCCCATGCCTTGCATAATGCTTCGCCGAATCAACAGACATATCAATTTCAAGGCAAGAGGAAGGATTTCCATCCTCACCACTCTCATTTCAGTAAAAAGAGTAAGGGACACTATCCCGATAACCAAGGGTATCGCCACAATAACGCTCGCCCCCAGCCCCCAGGCAGTCAATGCAGTGGGTCAAACCCGCGTCAAGATACCCCCTACCCCAAGGTATGAGACATACACGCCCTTGAATGCCACATGCGCGGGCCATTTACCCCAGCATAGCTCACCTGATACCAAAGCCAAAGCCGAGGCACCCAGATTACACGCCCCCGAATAACGCGGGCATGTTTTGTTGCTACCATGAGCATAACGGCCATGATAGCGAGAAATGTATCATCCTCCGTGATCGTATTGAAGCTTTGGCACGAGAAGGAAAAATTGATCAATTCCTCCTTCACCCTCAAAGGGATAACCGTAACCAACGCCAGGTGAATGTCATATATTCCATAAGCGGCGGCACACCCATATCTGAATCTTCCAATAGGGCCATGAAAAACAGTGAACGAATTATGAGGCCTGGTCACCAAAGTGTTTCACGTGGAAGACATCAGGGGAGGGAAGTATCAAAAGCCTAACTGGGATCCGATATGTTTCTACCCTGAGGAAGAAAGAGGCATCATCTACCCTCATAACGACCCATTGATCGTGGAGGCTCACATAGCCAACTTTGATGTTCGACGAATCCTCGTAGACACAGGGGCTTCGGTCAATATCATGTTTGCCGAAGCTTTCAGGGCACTCAGTGTAGCTGAACACTTGCTCGATCGCTCGATTTCTCCTCTGATAAGCTTCTCCGGTGATATCGTGCAACCCTTAGGGAGCATACATTTACCCTTTACTATTGGTACAGGCCCTTACACGGCTACCATTACCACTAACTTCCTAGTGGTTGACTGCCCAACGGCATACAATGTCATCTTTGGGCGCACAGGCATCAATGATCTCAAGGCTATGGTATCCACGCATATGCTGTTGATGAAATTTCCAACCCCCCATGGCAACGGCTACATCAGATGAGATCAGCTTAGTGCACGATCATGTTTACAACACTTCAGTTAAGCAACAACACTTGCCCGGACCCAAGGAAACCCTGTCTGTACATGACCAAGTCACAAAGACCAGCCTAGATGAAGCGAACTTGGATCTTCCTGATAGCAACAATCAACCCGATGATCCTCGAGATGACTCTTTCACCCAGCAAGCCCAACCTGCTGAAGAG